GAACTGCCCGCTCCCCGTCCCGGGCACGACGGCGCCCCTCCCGCTGTGGCGCGCGCTCTCACCCCAGGTACGTACCTTTCCTTTCCAGCCCGACCGCGAGGGTCCCGGACGCTTCCCCGGAGGCCACAGAAGCCGAGCGAAGGGGCGGGGCTATGGCTGCACATGCGCAGAAGGAGGCCCGAGACTCTTCCCAGAGTGCTGCGCGGTGACCAGACAAGACTACATTTCCCACGAGCCTCTGCGCCGCGTCCGCTTGGCGCGCGCTCTCGCCCCAGGTACGTACCTTTCCTTTCCCACCTGACCGCGAGGGTCCCCGACGCGTCCCCGGAGGCCACAGAAGCCGAGCGAGGGGGCGGGGTCGAGAGATGGAATCGACCTAAGCGTCCATCAACAGATGAACGGGAAAACCTGGTACGTGGATAAAGGAAATGTGGAATCACAATAGAATACCGTTCAGCCATAAAAGGGAAGGAAACTTTTCTGTCATGGATGTGACGAGGCTGTGCTCGAACCAACTGAGCTAACAGGCCAACACCTACTTTTGTTTTGTTAGTTTTTGGCAGCTGGTGCATATGGGGACCCGAACCCTTGACCTTGGTAAAAACATGGATGAACCTGGAGGACGTTATGCTATGTGAAATAATCCAGGCACAGAAAGATAAATAGGAGCATACTTTAAAAGGTTACTGAAAAATAGAATTAAAAGAGAATATAGATCTTTCCGTGAACTTCTTGAAGCACCTTGGTACTGCATTATCTTGCTTATATGTGGAACCTAAAGAAGTCGAACTGATAGAGCAGAATGATGGTTCCGAGGGGTGGGGGAGTAGGGGTGGGAAATGGGGAGATGGGGTACAAAGGGTTCAAAGTTTTCGTCAGACAAGAGTGATAAGTTTTAAGAGATCTATTGCACATCAGGGTGACAACACTTAATAATAAGGTATGTGTGAGTATATAAAGACCTCCCCGAGGAGTCCCAGAAATTTTCACCTATTCGGGGGGAATCGTAGGAAGCTAAAGTTCTGCTGAACGTGTAGATAAGAGCAAGTTCCGATGACATTTGGGTTAATGACACCCCATGTGCTACCACATTCCAATGCATGTGGGGGCCCTGTGGAGACTCAGGTTACTGATAAAAACCTTAGTTCTCTGTGAGCAACAACTGGGGGGATGACTTCCTTCTGCCCCATCAGCTGCTTCCCGAGCTACCACCCCCAGGACCTTCCCCCTTTCACAAAAGGCTGGGGCTGGGAACCACATTTTTGCAGTGATTCTGGGTGAAGCACACCTTTTTCTCTTTGATTTTTTTTTTCCCCTAAGCAAAACTGGATTTTCTCTCTCAACCCACTGATGGACTAGTTGAGACAGATTCCCGGTCCTCCTGGGAATCATTTGAAGGAGAAATGGGAGGCTGCAGGGGAGTGGACAGAGCAGACTGCTGGCCTCATGCCACGGGCAGAAGGCAGCGCCCCCTCCCACCTGCTTCCCTACTGAGCCTGCCCTCCAAGCCCAAGATTGGCACGTTGCCTAGTTAATGTTTAAAACAAGCAAAAACCTGTTGAACAGAAGGAAATTCCCCCAAGCACAAAAGGCCCTCATGCTGAAAACTTCTCCTGAATTTCTCTCGGGCAGAGAGCACTAGACCTATTATCTCAAAGAATGCCTGGTGAGATGGCCGATTATCTTCTCAGAGAAGAATATTATTGGCCTTTGTGTTAGGAAAGATAACGTTCTGAGGAAGACTCTAGAATTTTAGAGTGGGTTGGAGCACTGAGAAATGGACTCTGGACATCAGTGTGGGTCTTGGGGTCTTTAAACACAAACCAGCTAAAGGTTGGCCACGATGTGGGTCCACAGAACAGTTGCCTGTCCCATGGAAGACTCGGTCAGAGTGTTTCTGAAGAAGGGCTCTCCCAGCAGCTCTTTTGTGACAGGCAATCATTAACCTGTCCTAACCACACTGGAAGAATGTTTTGGAATTTTGATTAAATGTTAATGGGGGCAATAAGAGAAGAGAACTAAGTAAATGCTTGACATTCAGCCTATGCTCTGAAGGAGAGGAGGTGATGAAAGACTATTGAAATAAATGACGTTTTATTTTGAATTCTTTCTTAAGAATGACTGAATATATCCCAGAGATGTCCACATCCCGTCTACCCCAGCTCAGAGTGTCCCAGCAGACCCCTCGTGGGCAACCTCCCTTTCCCACTCTGCTAGAGATCTAGAGGTGGTCTCCTTAGGGCTTATAAATGCCTGGGGCATGTCAAAGGTGGACCCCACAGGTGAACAAATGATTAGTTATTATAGGACTTTTTCCTGTAAGATTTCATGTTTCCATGTAGGCAGTATCTGGAGAGTGATGGGTAAGGTTCAGTGCACGCAAAGGATGATAGCTAAAATATAAACTCGATGTTTTGTTCACTGATGTATCCTAAATGATTTGAGCAGTGTTTGTTGAATGCATGGCTCTCCTCACATCATGGACAACCTGCTAAGGCTGGCCCAGGGTCCAGACACCTGGGCGCATCACTCAGTGGCTGCTTTCCCAGTGTACTGCTTCTGCATTTTCTGGGCCATGGTTCAATTTTATCATGACTCAGGGATGTGGACCAGTATTCAAACTCCAGTACCGTTCCACGGCCTTATCCCTGGGCCTCCTCCTAGTCTGTCTCACTTGCCCCTCATCTGAGCTTTCCCACACTAAAAATCGACTAACCATTCATTCTACTCCTTTTCCCAGATGGTAATATTTTTTCTGTCTGTCTTAGAGTAGTTATCCTGATCCCTACCTATACCCCCTCCAAAGGGGAGCTACCTTTATAGCTCTAAGATGAAGAAAAGGAGACAAACCCACAGCTTCATAGTCTATCAGGATTCTTGCTACAGAGAAAATAAATGATCTGCGTGTGAAGTCTGGCTGCCCACCTCTGTGCTTCCACCCGCACAATTTCTAAAGGTTCCTAGGGAACGTAGATACTATTGATGAATATTTTATGGGATGGAAGAAGTGAGGGATCTTCAGTAAGCAGTAATAATTGGCCCAGCACCAGGTAGGTTGATGTGTCATGGGTATATCACATGATGGTACAGAATTGAGGAGCAGGAAAGTAGAGAAAAAAATGATACTTTTTATCCTTTGTCATTCATTCAACAAACATTTACAGCACACTGACTCTCAATAAATAAACAGTTATTGCTGGAAGCTGGGGATGCAGTGGTGACAAAGAAACAATAACCCCATCTTCCTAGAGCTCACGGTTTATCAGAGAAATTAGATCTTTCCTACATATGCCAGTGGACAAGTGAAGAGAGAGGAGTTAACTAGAAGGAGATAACTAGAAGGTCTATGGCAATCTATGGATTCTTATAAAGGGATCTCTAAGTAGACCACTGGGAGAACTTGGGTGTTAAACTAGACGGATGTAATCAGGGTTATATTAACTCCAGGAGTGACCTAATCTGACCCCAGAAAAAGGATTATGAATGATTTATAAAAAAGTTTTTCTAATCAAATCTGGGAGTGAATTAGGATGCATTTTCTTTCTTTTTCTTTTGCTCAGGTTTAGTGTTGCAACCATTAAGTTAAACTTAGAAAAAATAGAAAAAGAATCTCTTTTATGGTAGAAAAAAAAAGGCCACCTTAAAAGACAAACTACAAATTGGAGGATAATATTTGCAACATATATATTAGCAAAGAGTAATATATTCATAATATATAAAGAGCTCCTACCAACCAATAAGATATAAAGTAAAATTGCAATATCAAAACAGGCAAAAGTTACTGTATCCATCAAGTACAAGCAGGAAACAATGGCTTACTCAAAGGATTTCATTGAAGAAGAGTTTGATGAAGGAACTGTTTATGGAGTTGTGGCCAGAATTGAGGGAATAAGCAAAAAAGGTGGTAGCAAAAGCAGAAAGCCTCCATTCCTAAGTCGGGAGGCATAAAGAATGGCTTGTTGTAACCTGGAGAGAGCTGGAGTTCCGGATGAGGGGACTTCCCTAGGGGATCTGACCCTGAGCAATACAGTTCTTTCAAATTAGCCTTCATGGTCCAGAGCGGGGCGTGGAAGGGTGAGGAATGAGTCTGTGCTGGGAGAGAGAGCAAGCAGAGAATAGGCATGACCAGCATAAATAGGAACCCACAGATTAAAAACAAATATCTAAAAAACACTTGATTTATTTAAAAGCTCCCCAGTTTCACTAATATGTAGTAAAATGTAATTTTAGAAATAAGATACTATTTTTTCACATTAGACTGGCAAAACTGGAAAAATAAAGTATTACTATTTAGTGTTGATGAGGATGAGAAGAAGGCAGAACTCCAATACATTATTGGTAGTGTAAATTGACAGCTTTCTGGACAGTAATTTGCTGTGAATTATCCGTTTTTATAATACTCTTTGACCCAGCAATCCAGCATCAA